GACCATAAAATAAATACCCTAAAAAATCACTGCACTTACACTTTAAATCTTAAGTTAATTTCTTGGCACAGTGACAGACTCTTCTAATTTCTTTAATGATTTCCTAATTTAAAAACATGTAAATACTATTCATTACGTCTACCTCAATAAATTGTCTTGACAACAGCTTTTACTTTCATTTTCTTCAACAAGTTTTTTTAGCTGGAGACAGTGCCTGGGATATTGTCGCGGCGTCTTCTCTGTAGGGAACACCGCTGATCCCTTCTGGTTCGATGTCAGCAATAGTCTGGATTCAGTCCTCCTCTAGGCAGCTCGCTTCTCTGCTGGCTGTCAAATATGTTATATTCACCATTCAATAAAACAAACTCTTTTCTCAACAAATCAAATATCATACAGAAATAACAGAGCAAATGGAGAGACAAAAAAGCCACAATACAATATGCACTCACTCACGCACTCTAAAGGCTGGTTTACATAATGACGCATGGTCTTGCGTTGCGACCGGAAGTGCTGTATAAACAAATGACAGAGTGCGTCAATGCGTCGGGATAGATTGCGAGTCTATCCTGACGTTTTGACGTGCATCCCCATTTGTTTCTACAGCACTTCCGGTCGCAACGCAAGTGCACGAAAGGCAATCCGTTTTTATGTAAACCAGCCTTAACACTCTCATTCACTCGCTCCCGCTCACACGCACTCTTAAGCCTAACAAAAATGTCTCCTTTTATACAAAAATGATCAATTAATTAATAATAATGAATAATAATAAAATAATAACAGAAAAAACATCATAAAACCACACAGATATGAGGGTGGGATAATGTGCTGCTATAGCAATCAAGGAGCTAAATATATATTCCTAAACAATAATATAACTAGTAAAAATAAATAATAACAATTTCTTAATAACTTAGATTGATTATTGATGCAACGACGTACAAATGAGTACTTCTATGATCAATTTAGGACTTAAGTTTCAACCCTTTGTTTATACAGTTTTTAAGGAAAGCATTATTCAATTTAAATCTGGATTCTGCTAGTTACACTGCAAAAATAATGGTGGGTTGTTCACACCAAAAAAGGTGTGTTCAAAAGTCATCATATAGCTCACTCCATAAGTGGGTAAATTACACTTTAAAAAGTGGAGATTCCCACTACTATAGGTGGCAAAAAGCTATCAATAATAGTGGTTCCGCAACATTTGCACAGTGGATAAATAGTTCAAACAAAAATATTTTAAAAATAAATACTATATAGATCTAACAATGTTTAGTTTGTGTTCTTTCTTTCATGCATTCTTGAACATGCACCTATAGCAAGAAACACAAATAGAAAAAGAGATGGAAACACCCAATTTCCTTACTGTGTCATTGGAATTGTAACAGCTAAAAAGCAAAGTCTTAATTGTCTTGTATTGAATCAGCCAAGGCACAAATCATTCAAATGAACATTACTATAATTACAAACAGTAGCCTATGTAAATG